AATACAATTTCTGTTCCTGAACAAAAATGGCAAGGTGTGACCGTGTTTTTTGACGTGTTTGATATTCAGTAAATCAAGCAGCAGTTTGATACCAAACAGACAGCAAACACAAACTCACACAGCGAAAGACTAATTACAGCGCTTTAAATCCCCCAACACTTTAAATGTTAATTAAAGTGAACAGCCACAGACAAGTTCATGTTGCTGATAAAACAGATTAATAATTTTTTTTTGCCTGTGTGCAATATTAAGCAAAAGTAGAATTAAATTGTTTCAGATGCTTAAACATAAAAATAATAATACACTCTCATCCCAAGTAACAAATTTAGGCTATAAAAACATTGTTTCTGAAAAACATTCTTACAGCGTTCTACTAGCTTTATTTTCACCCATAATAAAGTGTTATTTGAACATTTGTTTTTAAGAATGTTATAATGTCCGTTTAGAACGTTATTTAAAGGTTACAAAAGCATTTCTTACAATGTTCATCAAGTGCAAATAACATCAGAATGTTGATCTCAACATTATGAAAATATATATCATATAGTAATAAGTTTATAAGAACGTTCCATAAAAATATATTTTAAGAATGTTTTGTCCCAACATTTATATAACTTTTAAAGAACATTAGCGTAGTTATGAGAAGCTGGTTAATGCATGTGATGAATGTCTGATACCTGATATGACATGAGTTCTCTCCTCTGCAGCCGACGCTGCTCAACACTGGAGTCCTGCGGACCTGCGGACATCACACTGCACACACACACACACACACACACAGTTACAGTCTCTGCACTGGCTACCTATTAAGTTCCGTATCAGTTACAAAATATTATTACTTGCCTATAAGGCCCTTAATGGGTTAGCTCCTGCGTACCTAACTAGTCTTCTACCACGCTACAATCCATCACGCTCCCTAAGGTCACAAAACTCTGGACTTTTAGTTCTATGGGTACAGGAAACATCGCCTTTTCCAAATAAACATGCTTCCTACAGTTGCTGAGATTGAACAGTACTTCGCCAACTGTTTAGCCCTTATTTTAGATAGCCCCCCAATGCAAAGTCCACGGATCACCAGCCTGTGTACATGACCTAGACTACCAGACACCAGCACAATAAGCTGGCATTTGTACCCAAGGTTCTCAATGGTAGATATCAAACACACACACACACACTCTCTCACACACACACTGCTGAACTGATGCATGTAAGACTGCAACAATATGACATTCAAGCATCATTCCCTGATTCCAGTGTAAATACAGTGAATGTGCTTCTGTGCTGTGGCGGAAATGCACTTTTGTGGTATATATGGAGCTTTATGTGTCTCAGTTCTCCAGTATAAAGATGCTTCAATACCTGCACAAACCATCTAATAACAGCCACACACGTGCAATGACACACTCCTGATGTGTTACGAAACACATTTACAGTGTCAGTGTTAAGAGGACGAGCTGTAATCCCTGTAATGAGGGAACAGCTCTTCATGCGTCACTGAGAGTCACCATCAGTGACTTACTGTAATCTCAACAGAACCAGCCGCACTACACAAACATCACAGCGCTCAGAAACACTGGATTCTGATTGGTTGCTGCTGTCATTCTGTGCTGTGATATGTGTCTAAAACTATAACTGATGGCTGTCTCAATGATTTCCTCCATCACTGTGCTTGCTTCATGTCTTTACACAATAAAATCACAGTTTAACTCTGGTGGTATTATATTACACAACCCCAGAAACAAAGGTACAAAATCTGTCACTTATCAAAAGGTACACTTTTATACCTATTAGGTTCTAATATGTACACTTTAAATTCTAATATGTACCTTTAAGGTACCAAAATGGACTCTTTAGGTACAAAGATGTACTTTTTTGAAAAGTGATCACCCCAGTGACAGCTTTTTGTACCTTTATTTCTGAGAAATAAGCAGGAACGCACTGCAAACAATGATTCTCTTACTTAGTATTTCTGTCTTGTGTTCTAGTATAAATATCTAAACATTCTCGAATCAAGATGCATTTACTGTACAAGAAAAATAATCTTGTTTAGTGTTTGAATTAAGATTATTTTTCTTACCCCACTGGCAGATATTTGTGCTTGTTTTAAGCAAAACTATATACTATATACAAATATACTGTAGTTACTTTGATATATATCATGCACTGAATAAATACCATACTCATTGACTATTGCATTCCTAAGTTCTTCTAAGAATATCATGACATTAACATGCATAAGCCCAAAAAATCATGCTAAATGAGTTTCACCTGTGAGTTTGTGAGTTCAGGTCGAGTCTCAGTCGCTGTTCGTCCGGTGTTCAGTGAGCGTCCTCCTGATGTCTGTTCCTCTGGTGAGTATCCGCATGCAGAGAGAGCAGGATTAGCGTCTCTGGAGATTAAAGCTTCATGTTCCACAGGACAGGCTTGTGCCCTTGTGAATTATTTACAGTGATGTCTTTATAGTAAATGTGGTGATTTTTGTTATTGTGAATCCCAGTGATGTCTTCACCAGTGTTAGAAAAGTTACTTTTAAAAGTAATGTGTTACAAAATTATATTACTCCCTAAAAAAAGTAACTAATTGCGTTACTTTTTATGGAAAGTAATGTGCTCCGTTACTTTTGCGTTACTATTTAAATCTTGCTCGTGCTTGCATGTCTGTTTTTAATATAAAAAATACTATTTTTGGCAAATGTAAAAGCCGTTTCACACTAATGTGGTGATTTTTGTTATTGTGAATCCCAGTGATGTCTTCACCAGTGTTAGAAAAGTTACTTTTAAAAGTAATGTGTTACAAAATTATATTACTCCCTAAAAAAAGTAACTAATTGCGTTACTTTTTATGGAAAGTAATGCACTACGTTACTTTTTTTCATTTGTGCTGGGCTTGCTCGTTTGTTGATTATATAAAAAGTTCTATTTTTGGCAAATGTAAAAGCTCTTTCACACCAGAGGTGAAACAAATAATCCTGGATTGCATGAAGAATAGGATGCAGGAGAGGAAAAAAATAATGAAACACAAATGCTATGTTTATCTACACTCTTAAAAATAAAGCTGCTTCACGATGCCATAAAATAACCTTTTTGTCTAAATGGTTCCATAAAGAACCTTTAACATCTGAAGAACCTTTCTGTTTCACAAAAGCTTCTTTGTGGCTAAAGAAGGTTCTTCAGATTATAAAAAGCTAAGAAAGAGATGGTTTGACTGAATGCTTCTTTGTGGAAGCAAAAATGGTTCTTCTGTGGCATCACTGTGAACCTTTATTTTTAAGAGTGTAGAGTGGTTTTTGATTATTAGTATGATTGAATTGGATCATCGAAGGTCAGCAGCGAAGACATTGGTTAATAAAATGAGATTAAATAAAGGATATTTGTGTTATTTAACAATTATTGCAGGTTTATATTCAGAGTTTGCATTTGACTGTTTTTATTGATTGTGAGGAACACTGAATGTGTTTGTGTGCAGTGAGATGAGTAAACACATGTTGATATTTAGTCTAGAACTACAGTAAGATCATGTTCACACACAACGCTCTGCACTTACTCCTGATTTCTGTCACCATGGCAACACCAGAGCTGTCACTCAACACATGGAAACAAAGTAACGAGTTACTTATTTGAAAAATAACTCCGATATTTCCTTCTAAGTTAAAAAGTAATGTTACTTTACTAGTTACTTGGAAAAAGTAATCTGATTACGTAACTCACATTACTTGTGATGCTCACATCCACTGAGTTTCCTCCTTTTTCTCTCTTTGCTCTATTTTTCTTCCCATTCTGAGTGATTTTATCAATCATTCTCAACATTATTTCTCTACTGTCACACTGCTGTTTCTTCATGTGTAAGTTGACTATCTTCCTCTTTCCCTCCCGCATCACATGTTGCTTATTTCTCCAGCAGTTTGTCTAGTAAGAACACACCACTAGAGGGAGACAGAGGAGGAATAATCACAGATCACTGCTACAGGCCTGTTTCATCCAATAACACTCACAAATACTGTCTTTTCACCAATAATCACAGACCGGATCCTTTTCGAGCAGCGTTAATGTACAATAACAACACACTGGTTTGCACTGCAACAGCTCCTTTACTTTATAGATGTTTGTTTCACATGTTGTAAATTAAGCGTGTAAAAAGTATCATAAATCAAGTGTGTTTTTAAGTGTATTAATTCTTCTCAAGTAAATTTATTTAAGATTACACTACAAAAAGTATCCTCTTACTTAATATTTTTGTCTTGTTTTCTAGTATAAATATCTAAACATTCTTGAATCAAGATGCATTTACTTGACAAGTAAAATGATTTAAGATATTAAGTATTGTTTTCTAAGAAAATTATCAAATTTTGTTAGTTTTTGCTTAAACAAGCTAAAATATCTGCTAATGGGGCAAGAAAAATCATCTTATTTAGCTTTGAATTAAGATAATTTTTCTTACCCCATTGGCAGATAGTTTTGCTTAAAGAATGTTTAGATATTTATACTAGAAAACAAGACAAAAATACTGAGTAAGAGAA